ATATTAATATTTTAACACGCTAAAGAAGTAAGATTAATAACTGACTCTCATGCAGACTGTTGACACAGAGCACATTCTGCAAAGGGGGAAGGGCAGGCTCGTTGGATTTTAGTTCTCCAAATGTCCAGGTTGCAGTATGTGGTGTATCAAGAGTCTCATCGTGACCTTATGGAAATAGGAACATTTTACATTGATTCAGCCCCGAGGGGGGCGTGCAGAGTGAGGCAGAAAAGAGGATGGGGTTATGTGAAGCGTTTCTGTTTCGGGTGATCTGGACGGTGCAGAGAAAGAACCTTCTCTTGAACTCTTACTTAGCATGCAAGAAGCATTTGCCACCCAGGCTCTGCCTCCCGGTCCCTACAAGGGCCATGCGGACCTGACTCACCTCCTGAATTGAAGAGAGATCTCCAGCTCATTTCATCTCTCCCTCTGCATGGGTTGGCCTTAACTTTTCTCTAAACTCGTGTTGTCACCCACTACTACCTACTAAATGAACTGCCTGAGAACGCCTCTGTACCTGTCGTGTGTGGTGGGGAGTATTAACGGCCAGATCCGTCCGTGCTCAGCAGACTTTTGTGGCCCTCTGATGACATTCTCCCAATAGTCCTATGGAGGCTTGTTATTTTCCTCCAGAAGTGGAGGCGGTGGCTTTGGAGGTAAAACTTAACCTCTTACAGGGCCAGGTAGCTGGGGCAGTAGAGCCAGGCTTCAAACACAGTCACCAACCTACAGTGCCCTAGACCACACTGTCCCCATCATCAAGCCCTCCACGCACTCAGACTCCCACATCAAGACGCCCAGGGTGTGTGTGTCTTTGAAAGCCACAGAGATGGTCCCCGTGTGAGGTCACCATACGGTGATCTGATGGCATCCCCCCCCATGTCTCCCCACAGGAAGTGGTCTTATACTGCCTGGAGAACAAGATTTGTGATGTGAATCATCGAGACAACGCAGGCTACTGTGCCCTACATGAGGCGTGTGCGAGGGGGTGGCTCAACATCGTGCGACACCTCCTTGAGTATGGCGCTGATGTCAACTGCAGTGCTCAGGATGGAACCAGGTCAGTGGCGCGTCTTGCTCTCAGCCTGGCCCTGCTCCTGGGACGCAGGCCGTGGTTGGCAGGGTCGGCAGGAAAGAGCCTAGGAGGAGAGTGACATGGAAGCACATTGACGGCCGAGTCCTCTAGGACTGAACCAAACAGACCTCCCTGGCGCTCTGGATGAGAAGCTCAGGCCTGGATGATTAAGCAGGGGCGTTGCCTTTTAAGACCCTCGAATCTCCATTCCCATCCCCTCCATTCCCATCCCCGGAGTCACTGTGTTTGAAATGCATGTGAGCTGCAAGTCCCTGGAGGACAGACACAGAGCCCCTGGCTGCTTCGGCGGGACCTCCTGTCACCACTCACATCCCCAGTTCTGCCTTTTACCCTGTCCTCGACCCTGGCTTTTTGGTCAGAGACCAGGTCTGAGTCAGCCCAGGCACATTCCTGGTTTTGTGAGTGGGATGTTGCCAGACGGCAGGGCACTAGGGTTTTCCTGACAGTCGTAAAAATAGCCAAATAGAAAACAACAAAAAAAAGATAGCCCCCAACAAATGTATTCCGTGTTTCACACTTTTAATTAAATAGCATTCCCTTCACGTGGGAGCAGGGTCCCATCGGCCACTCCCGCCCTGTGCATGGGTGGGAGAGCTCCGTACGCTTCTGAGGACAACCCCTTCTCCCCGTGTCTTCTCTCACCACCATTCCCCCGGCCTCTAGGCCAGAGGGTTGATCATGGGTCAGCCTTGCAAGGTCCTGGGCTCAGGCCTTCAGGGGAGTCTCCTCTAACCACTTCTCTGCACCGCTTTTCTTTTACGACACAGGTGACTTTTTTTTTTTTTTTTTTTTCAGTGGCCCAATAATTTCTTGTCGTATTGGCTTCCACAATGATGGGATCATTTCTTTTCCCCTATAAAAGTCCCTGTTACTCCTTTCGTTTGTCCGAAGTGTTTTCTTTTGGGATTTGAGTTCCTTTTTAATTAAGCCTTGGATTAAGGCCCGTGTGCATTTGAAAATTAGGCCTGAAATGGTCTTGTCACCTGCCTGGTAAAACAGGGAACACCTCCTAGGTGAAAATATCATGCCTAGGAGACTGGGTGTACAAAGTACACGCGTGTCTGGTTCTCCCCGTTCAAGGGGACAACGCAGGAAGCAGTTGTCATGCGTGCGGGCTTGATCTCACTGAGCGTCTCTCCCTAGGCCTCTGCATGATGCTGTTGAAAACGATCACTTGGAAATTGTCCGCTTACTCCTCTCTTATGGTGCTGACCCCACTTTGGCTACGTACTCAGGTAGAACCATTATGAAAATGACTCACAGCGAGCTCATGGAAAAATTTTTAACAGGTACGACCAAGTTTCAACAAACAGTTTTATTCCAAACTTGCGTGGCACCTAGATCACCTTCAGTTTGAATTGACTGGGTAGAAATGAAAAAGGCCGGAGTTCGAAAAAGCTTTTTAGGACAGAAGCTGAGCGCTTGGCCTTTCTGTTTGGTATAACCTTACTCCAGTGAAGCTAGTTGACCTGTTCTAATGTTTTCAAAGATGTTTGTAAAGTTGTTTACATTTTCAACAAATGCAATCTTAACTTTGGTATGGCTCATAGGTTGACAACTCGAGTCTGGATGAAATGACTCAACCCTTGCATATGTGAAATTATTTGGATAGTTTTGTGGTGTTCGGTCATGGACAACCCATCATTTAAGCCGCAGGCATTATGAGAAGCACGGGGTTTTCATGAGTGTCAGGCACCTGCAGTTCAATTCCTTGTCAGACGCTTGCTGAGGAAGAGTGCCACTCACTCCCTCAAGACCCACCCTTGTTTACCTTAAGTTGCACTAATTATAATCAGGAAAAGCAGCTTAGTCAGTCTATCGAAGAGAAAACTGAAGCCAGACATTGGCGCAGTAGTAAAACGAGAAGTTTCTGGGTTCGTACCTTGGATACCTCCCTGGCTATGACAGTCACGCGTGGGTCTGTCATCTGGGACTGGCTGTGGCTGGGGAGGGATCAGGGCCTGAAGAGTCTGCTGAGGGGCTATTTAATTTGACCAGACACACACACACACACACACACACACACACACACACACACACACAGAGTGAGAGGGAAAGTGAGAAAGCAAGTCACCAGGTCTGGGAAATTGAACCGTGGTCGACCATGTGGGAGGGTCCAGCGCCTTAACCACCACACCACCCACTGGCCCCAGAGGGCTGAAAGAAATTCTTAGCTTGCCAGTCAAGCTTGGCGGCACAGGGCGTTCAGTCCCTTGGGAAGGTGGGTGAACAGGTATCTGGATTTTAGGCACAGAACAGGGCTTTGGTGGATTGTACGGATGAGACAGACAGCAAGTGACGTACCAGCTTGTCATAAATTTATAGGAAAAATACCCCCTAACTCGACCAGCATTTTGTTCTCACCAGTAGGTTTTAATCTTTTTTTTTTTTTTTCCTCCCTCCTCTCTTTCTCTTCCCAGATTATTTAAATGACCTGCAGGGTCGTGGTGACGATGACCCCACTGGATGCTGGGACTTCTATGGCAGCTCAGTGTGTGGTGAGCAGCGTTGTTCTTTTCAGTCCACTGGGAAATGAACGAGTTAGTGAGCACTTCTTTTGGTGTGGGTGAAGGGGAGTGGGCGGTGGGTGCTAGAAACAGGACGCCATTGGGGAAAGCTGGCTATTTAGAGTCCCCTTTTTTGGGCACAGCTGAAACCGTGCTGTGACTTTACCGACGATTCCTCTCTCTCTCTTGTTCTCCCCATTAGAACCGGATGATGAAAGTGGATATGATGTCTTAGCAAACCCCCCAGGTCCAGAAGACCAGGAGGAGGATGATGATGCCTACAGTGACGTGTTCGAATTTGAATTTTCAGAAACCCCCCTATTACCATGTTACAATGTCCAAGTGTCTGTCGCTCAGGGGTGAGCATGGCTATCATGTGGTTGAAAATGAACTGAGCTTCTTTCTGTTGGGGTAGCGCAAGTTAGAGATCCCTTTTAATAAGTACACGAGGGTGGGTAGGTAGGTGAGCAGATCACCTTCCGTGATGCTGTAGATATTTTACAGAAAGTGTAATCATCAGTTTTAATTACACTGAGTGAGATGGGAGGTGGGTACAACAACTGCTTTCCACAAAGCATAAAGGCATAAGTCGTGATCCAGAGCTCCGGGGCCATTAAAGTTGGTGACAGGACCTTCACAGAAGAATCAGCACCTTGGATACTTCCTTCACTTTGGGGAGGGAGTCCTCCTTAGGAGCCTTCCCCTCCCCCACTATCCCAACAGGCCACCATAGGCGCTTGCCTAGGCATTGCAGGTGTACTGAACAATACCGTTATACCACCTTCTCATGTAAGAGTAGATAGTACAATCATTATACATGACCATTGGGATCTCGATGTGCCATCAGATTTGCTTAGATTCATCCCCATGGTCCAGTTACCGTGCTCTGGTGACCAACCCTTCAGGATGTACAAAGTATAGGAAACCATACTTTGCTGGGTATTAATTAACAAAGGTGCTTAATGAGCAGCATCTTCCTAGAGCCCTGAAGCTATAACATGTATGCTATCACAAATAGTGGTGGAAATCATAAAGTATGGCAGAGGATATATGTAATGAATGTAACACCTACTTCCCCTAAAGTATCACCTCTGAAAGAATAGAGGGATGTGGGTAGAGATATGGAAAAGGAAAGGAGAGATAACCTTCTGTGGGGATTTTTCCTTTTTGCTTGTTTGTTTGTTTGTTTGTTTCTTAAGGCATGCATGTGAGAAGGCTCACCCCCCAGCTGGGGCCCAGCCATGCTGCAATGTTTTTTCCTCCATCCCGTCGAAATCTTGGGCATGCACACACATGTACCCAGCATGTTTTCAACCCATTGGGGCTGGGACATGAATCCTGGTGGGATCTAACCATGCGTGGCCCCTAACCACTCTGCTACAGGGCCAGTCTGCTTTCTGTGTTTTAAGATTCCATTAGTGAGGGTGTCTGGAGGGGAGAGATCAAAGAGGTTGGGATGCAGACTCAATCCCTCCCATGGCTGTAGAATGGCACTTGCAGAAGCGTCACCTGAGTTATGGTTAGAGTCCAATGAGCAGGACTTTACCTGTTAATATCTATTAGCAATAGGAACAATGAAGTTCCTTTGGATTATCCTCTCTAGATTTATCTTGTCTAGATTTTTTTCAGTTCCACTAGAGAGAGATAGCGCTCACAATGCTACAGTCCACCCTCAGTCTCAGCCAGTCTGAGATCACAGGCACACGCATTCCTTGTGTGTTCAGGGAGATCTCTGAATTCCATCCAGGACCCTTCTCATGTGGGTCAGCCTCACAGAGTGTCATGTTTTACTGTTGCATCACCATCCAGCCCTCAGGTATTCACCTAATAAACTCCCAGTGGGGCCAGATCTCTCCTGCTAGAAGTAGATACTCTAGGGGTCAGCAGGTGGTATAATGCTTAAGGCACTGGACTCCCACATGGCAGACCGGTTCAAGTCCCGGACCTGGTAGCTTGAAACTCACACTGAGTACGCCTCCATGCATGCCCAAAATCCCAAAAGGAGAATGGAAGAGAAGGGATGTGTGGCCATCCCCCCTGTGGAGTGATTTCTCGCTTTCCCTCTCACTATCTCTCTGGTGAATGCACACGTCCTGTGGCAAAAACTTTTTTTAAAAAAAAGTATAGATACTCTTTCTCACCTTAGAACAGAGCGGGCGGTCAGAGTAGGTATGTGGTGAAAGACGGGAGGAGGGGATTCAAACACAAACTGCTGGCCTTTGTTGTGGCCAGAGACAGTTCTCGTCACGCCGTCTCAGTTAATAGCCTAAAGCGCTTCTGACTCTGCTGGGCGCCTTGAACCACTCTCTTTTCCATTTTGTAGGCCACGAAACTGGCTACTCCTTTCCGACGTGCTTAAGAGATTAAAAATGTCCTCCCGCATATTCCGCTGCAATTTTCCCAATATGGAAATCGTCACCATCGCCGAGGCAGAGCTTTACCGGCAGGTTTCAGCAAGTCTCTTGTTCTCTTGCCCCAAAGACTTGGAAGCCTTCAACCCTGAAAGCAAGGAGCTATTAGATCTGGTGGAATTCACAAGTGAGCTCCAGACTCTGCTAGGCTCCACCGTGGAGTGGCTCCACCCCAACGATATGGTCTCGGACGACTACTGGTGAGCGCCAGGCCCAGTGTGTACAGTGTGTTATAGTGTTAATCCTTGTGCATATGTGTCATAATACGACTATTTCTGTAAAGAAAGGACACTATTACATATGAAAATATCTCTTCTTTATATAAGAGAAAATTACTCCAGTCAGAAGGACTTAGAAACATGTTTTGTTTGTTTGTTTGTTTTCTTTTTCTTTTTCAACTTTTAAGTCAGTTTCTATGAAGTTGTTACAATGTCTCTTTATTTTTCAATGCACACGTGTTTGGGGAGGTGTTTGTTTTTACTTGGAACATTTGTTTCTTTTCTTCCTTAAGGGGGGAACTAAGGAAATGGAGCGCCACACTTTGGCATCATTTCGTTCAAAGCTCTGATGGAAGAGGCCACAACTGTAAAGTGTGATCAGAACCGCGTGGTGGTTGTAGGGGGTGACTTTGGCGAAGGCGCTTGGCGCTGTTGTACTTTATGTTTTGTTTACAGAGTACCTGCTCGGGCCAGGTATATGCTATTGGATGTAATCCAGTAGTGTGTAATATAAATTCAGACCATATCCACACACAACAACTAATTGTATGAAACTTTTATATCCTAATTTAAAAGCTGTAAAATTAGTTTTCACGCATCAAACCGGAATTGTTTATATGTTTAAACATTTTATGCTCTTATTTAAAGAAGACTTTGAGCTATTTTTTTCTGTACCCTGAAAAATATTGAAAACTAACATAATATGTTGAGGTTGCTTGAAAATGTACATAAAACTAAAATTTTCTGAATTGTGTGTTTATGTTTGAAATCTGTGTTTTAACTTTGTAAGTACATTCTCTGCCTTTGTATTTATATTTTACAAAAATTTTCTTAAAAGGCAATAAACCTGTTGAGGAAAGGAGAAAATTGAAGTACCTCGTGTCCTATGTATTCCTAAAGCGTTATTGTTGTCGCTGGCTTTTGAAAGTGATGTTGATGGATCAATTCCCTGTGGATCACTTTAGAGCAATTTATAGTCTTATAAGCCAAAGCTGACTGGAGTCGTTCAGAGGATTTGTGCTCAGAGCATGATTTGGGGCCTACTCAATTGGTGTATGACTTCTGTTCCACATCCTTTCATGCCTGTTCTTTCTAGAGAGACTAGAAGACTAAAAAATTACCTGGCTCCCTTGCAGCTAGGTTTCTGGGTATATGTTTGGTTGGGAGACAGCATGAGTTATAGGCACCTTCCTACTGTAGTGGTGGTGTGGTTCCTAATGAAAAAAATGGTTGAGATGTACCAGTCAGTTGGAGTGACTGGTCCAGCATCCCAGCACGGGATGGGCCTTCAGGGTTTTGCATGATAAGACACGCTGGTGGTTGTGGCCATGACAGCTTTCTAATCCCTGGACGTTTGGCATCCTCAGCCTTGTGTTCTTGAACCCCGTGGTTCTAGAGTTGTCCCTGATTCATATTTCTTGTAAGTCTCTGAGTCCTTCTGTCGAGTTCGTTTTTGCACAGTGCCCTGAGTGTTTTCCAGTCCTCCCTTGAGCACCAAGGACACCAAGGCAGAGGCAGATGGGAAGAGCTGGCCGGCCGAGGAAGAGGTGCCATACGGACACTGGGCTTGAGTCGGGTATTAAAAGTGGGTTTGAGGGGCTGGCGAGCAGCATGGTGGTTAAGGGCAAGGGACTGCCGCAGGGCTGACTGCGGTTCAAGTCCTAGACCTTCTGGCTTACTTTCTCATTTTCCTTCTCTCTCTCACACTCTGTCTCTCTCTGGTCAAGTGAAAAGAAATGAATAAATAAAGATCAATAAAGTAATTCCTTTTTTAAAAAGTGAGTTTTCATAAATTTGTTTAAAAGGAAAAAAAGACATTAAAAATGAATTTATTTTGGTGTAAATTAGGAAAATTGCACATAGTTTTTCATAGCATGCATTTTCCATGAACTTTTGGAAGCTCTTTTGTATACAGAGAAAGGGGAAGGCAACCAAGAAAAGGGCCAAGCAACTCTGTGGCCTGATAAGAAAGGCAGAGTATGGGATCAACAGTTGGCTTAGTGGCTATGTCGCTGGACTCCCATGTAGTCGGCCGTGGTTCAAGTCCTGGACCCGGTGGCTTAAACTCATGCCGGGCGTGTGTGCATGCGTGCCCAAGATCTCGAGAGGAGAATGGAGAAGGGATTGCGGCGTGGCCATCCTCCTGGGGGGTGATTTCTTGCTTTCTGGCGAGTGTACGTGCCCTATGGAAAAACCTCTAAAAAATAAAATAAAGAAAGGCAGGGTATGTTTGGGATGGTTAAATCCCATGTGAGGAGGGAGCTAGCCCTTTGCTGGGGGGGTTTAGCTGGGTACTGGAGGAAGCTTGTCATGTATCCTTGAGACAAAAGAGGCAGCTAATTAGCTTTTTGATCTATTAGTTTTTGTGATTATAAAAAATGCACTATTGGGTCCAGCAAGTGCATGGTGGTTAAAGGTGCTGGACTCCCACATGGTCAACTGCGGATCAAGTCCCAGACCTGGTGGATTGCTTTCTTTCTCTCTCTCTCCCTCTGTCCCTCTCTGGTCAAATTAAAATAAATAAATAAAGTTAAATAAAGAAATTCTTTTAAAAAATGTACTATCATCGTTTAAAAAAAAAGAAAGTCTGAGCATTTCAGAAATAGATAAGCTTTTGTCACCCTCTGCCAACATCGTTTCCTCTGCTCCAGGGCTCACTATTAATAGTTTGCTGACTTTTGTTTTTTAGGAAGTCACCTCAAACAGGTGGGAGTGGCGCAATGAAAAAAGCAAAAACCAAAAGCAAGACCAGTCAGAAAGACCTGCAGAAATGATGTGAGCAAAAGAGCATGGGTGAGCCTGAACTACGACAGGCAGTAAAGGGCTGTCACGAGCCCAATTGAAAGGGACCAGCAGTTGGCCTAATGGCTATGTCGCTGGACTCCCACATAGTCAACCGTGGCTCGAGGCCTGGACCCGGTGGCTTAAACTCACTCTGGTCCGAGGACCTATAGATGGTTCTCAGAGAGATTATAGGTTATACCTCTGTCAAGGTTATTTCATTTGATGACCAGAATACACATAAGGCAATTCAAAAAGGGAAGACCAAAACTTTTCTTTGCAATTAGCAGTGTATTTGTTCATCTGATCTCAACCACTAAAAAAAAAAAAAAAAAAAAAAGCCCAATTGAAATAAATGCTGAAAAGTCCAGGGCAGGGGCCAGTAGGTGGCACAGTGATTAAGGTGCTAGACTCACATGGCCGACCATGGTTCTGAGTCCTAGACCCAGTGGCTTCAGAATCATCCTAGGCCCGTGTGTTTGGTGTATGCATACCCAAAATCTCAAGAGGATAATGGGAACGAAGGGATTGTGACTTGGCCATCTGCCACCAGCCCCCTCCCCCTCTCCCCAGGAGTGATTTGTCACTTCTCCTCTCTCTGGCAACTGCACATGCCCTAGGGCAAAAACCTAAAAACAAAACAGAAAAAGAAAAAGGCCAGGACATTCACTTCTTTGAATTTGGACTAGAGGGGAAAGGAGGGCCAGAGGCCAACCAAGGTTTCTACCTTGGACCAAGGTCATTCAATTACTAAAGCCAAGAAAATGGGTGGAATCCACAGATTCAGGCGGCCCCTCAGTGGGGGAAGTTATAAGTTCAAGGAGATATTTAAGATTACTGTTCATGTAGTTGGTGGAGCTGGTAGAATATTTGCTGTACGAATCACCAAGGTGGTTGAAACATGGATGTAGAACCAACCAGACTGGAAGTAGAGATGAGACCACCAAGCCAAGAAGGGTTCACCCCTGTCCAGGAACTCCCCGTGGGTGGAGGGGAACTCACCACAGATGAAGGAGTCACAAGTAGGGACGAGATCACGCTAGGAAGTAGAGGCTCTCACCACCAGCGCAGGGGAGCTGAGCATGTATTTAGAGGAATTCTGCAGTGGTCTAGAAGAGCTCTCCACAGATGTAGAGCAATTGAGGTCGATGCTGAGGGCGTTGGAGAGCTCTCTACAGGTAAATACATGAATACAGGAGTCATCAAGAGCACAGTGAGGGTACAGGGCTCACCCTGGGTGCGAAACTGCCCCTGAGTACAATGGAGTCCGTCATGGGTGTAGAGGTGTGAGCACCAGCACAGAGGTACTCGAAACTCACCATGACTTTGGAAGATTCAGCAGGGCTATCAAAGAGGAGCTTACCAGAGATAGAGAGCATGCTTTCTGTGGAAAGGACCTCCCTTTAGGTGGAGAGGAACTCACCTATGGTATAGAAGAGTCCCCATGGGTGCAATGGAGTTCCACATGGGTGCAAAGAAGCTTGCCACTGGTGCAGGGAGTTCACTGTAGGTGGAGAACAGAAGTGGTTCGTTCAACTTCTGACCATGTCCCTAAAAGTCATGACCTTTTTTATCCTGTCCTCTCCTGGCTAGAATGTGGTGGTGACAGCTACAGCCAGAACAGGCTCCTTGGACCATAAAATGTGAACATCAAGCAATGGCAGAACAAGTTTGAAGCATCTAGTGAAACAGCCATCATCCAGCCCTTTAAATTTGAAAAAAATAAATAAGTATATTGAAGCCACTGTGTTCTTGAGTTTTTCTATTATTCCAGTCAAATCTAATCTTTTTTTTTTTTTTTTGAGAGATTTTCACTGTAGGGCGGTTGCGCTCGCCAGACAGACAGAGAGAGACATAGAGACAGAAAGCGAGAAATCACCCCCCAGGGGGGATGGTCACGCCGCAATCCCTTCTCCTCCATTCTCCTCTCGGGATCTTGGGCACGCACGCACACGCGCCCGGCGTGAGTTTTAAGCCACCGGGTCCAGGACACGAACCGCGGTCGACTACGTGGGAGTCCAGCGACATAGCCATTACGCTAACTGCTGGTTCCCTCAAATCTAATCTTAATACACTTTCTATATGTGTGAACTCGAGCAAACTACTAGGTCAATGGGAAAGTCATGACATAGTATTCTATGTTTTCTATGTGTCATGACTATCCCAGTGACCCAATATTTACCCTCAAGGCTTGTTTCTCTTTTGTCAAAATTGGCCTAATAGTTGTAATAGTGAAAGCCACCAGGGCCTGCAGGTGGCATGGTGGTTAAGGTGCTGGACTCCCACATGGCTGACTGCTCTTGAAGTCAAGGACCTGGTGGCTTGCTTTCTCATTTTCCCTTCCTCTCTCTCTCTCTCCTTTCGTGCATGCTCTCTCTCTCTCTGTGTCTCACTCTGGTCAAATTAAGAAAATAAAAATAATGAGGGACCAGCAGTTAGTGTAATGGCTATATTGCTGGACTCCCATGTAGTCAACCGTGGTTCAAGTCCTAGACCCGGTGGCTTAAACTCATGCCGGGCACGTGTGCGTGCGTGCCCAAGATCCTGGGAGGAGAATGGAGGAGAAAGGATTGTGGCATGGCCATCCCCCCCTGGGGGGTGATTTCTCGCTTTTCTGTCTCTCTGTCTCCGTCTTTCTGATGAGTGCACGAGCCCT